GTCAAAAGTCAAGCAAAAATTGGACTGATATTGGGCACTATTTCAAGCACAATTTTTTGAGACGTAAATTGTACCTATAGCTCGTTCGATATTCGCGCACTGAGGTGAGTATGCTGGGCGTAGAACCTACGCCCAGCATACTCACTGAACGAAGCCTATAACTCCGAAGTTATTCGAGCACTGTTTTTTCTTTTTGGGCACCGTTTGGCACTATTTGGGAACTATTTTTTGAAGTATGAATTATGTTTGAAGCGTATACAGATTCTCCGGACGGATGTGAGTATGCTGGGCGAAACCTTCGTCCAGCATACTCATCGAACTATGGCTATAACTTCGCAAGTACAAGAGCACTATTTTTTTCCTTTGGGCACTATTTAGCACTATTTCAGAACAGTTTTTTGACATTCATGAAATATCAGGATTCCATGGTGAGTATGCTGGACGAAGGGACACGCTTCTGCGGCGCTACTAACGTCCTAATGTGAAAGGTCACTTAAACAAATGTCAAGATTGCCAACCGCACATTAATGGTACGAAAAAATGTGTTCAAAGAAATAACAATAACTCGTTTTGTAGGTTATATACGTATGTTTTATTCGCAACACTAAAATGTATTTTTTTTTACTATACAATACAAAATTATATTAAAATTTGACGTCACCATCATCTACCTGTTTTAACCAAAACGAATGTTGAAATTAAAAATCTATTTGGTTCGTTAGTTAGATTATTATTAACTCGTCGAGTACCGGTTTTGTAGACACAATTATAGAACAATAGGTTGCGGTCACCGGTCGGTGACCGCTTGGTGTTTGACAGTTTAAACAATATTAGACACGTATTTTTTATTTTATCGTATAAGAAAACAATACTTAGATCTGGGGGATCACTCTTGAATCCAATTCCGATCGATCGACATTGGTATTGTGAAATTTCGTATTCTCGAGTTACAACACTAGCGCTCATTGCATCCGTATTGCGTGGATATTGAATGAACTAAATGGTATTGAGTTTGGCGTTATATTCCGTACTCTGAATGCTATTTTAACAGTTTCGATAGGGGTTGTAAAGTTTTGACATTGAATAATTATTGAGATTGTATTGGATTGAAATTGTATTGACATTAAACTGTCAAACACCAAGCGGTCGCCGGTGACCGCAACCTATTGTTCTATAATTGTGTATATAATGACGGTACTCGACGAGTTAAGATTCAAGAGTAAGCACCCAGAGACGTTGAAAAAGAGGCGAACGTAATGTCAGTTAGAAATGATTGAAGCACCAAAGTATCAGTGGTGTATCTGTGTGCGTGTACCTACAACACCGTAATGTATGAAGTGTAATGACGGGCCATGTCACGCAACAGATGTCCTTAGTGTCAATGTGTGTGTATTATGCGTGT